TAGCGGTTGATAATGATGGCGTGGAAAGGACACATCCGGACGCATTTTTTGAACAAAACCACTAACTATTGGGTTGTCTCATAATTACTGTCGCAATTTCGACACTTTTGTTTATTCAAGTTTTATCTCTTCTGGGAAACAACTGACTAATAGCATAACCACCATCATGGTCACTGATATGCGTGCATTTACTAGTGGGCGTTTGGAAGCTTCCAGCCCAGAATGAAGGAAACTGGGGGTTGAAGAATATGGAGAAGTCGTTTTTGGGGTGACCGCAATCTTTAACTTTCTTCTCTGGCAGATGCTTATTCAAAGCGCAGGGGAGGCGATAGTCCGATAGAGCGATGCCAATGCTATATGGTGGATGAGGTATCGTGGCCCTGGCTATCTCCCCAACACGGGGAGTGAAGTTTTGGACATTGCAATGTTGAGTGTGCGGTTCAAGTCGGAGAGGAGATCTGAGATTCTCTCGCAACCCCAAAGCCAGCCAAGAGGGCTATTCCGCGCTGACTTTAGCAATGCTTGTCTTCATACATTGAAGTGGTTCCCAAACCAGGCCACCTAGCGAATCCAATAAAACGAGATCGATATTCTCAGAAAACGGAGTTCGGGCTTTGGTTGAGCTGGTGCTTCCTGGCTGCGAGGCAGCCATAAGACGTGCCGCATGTTGTTGTCGCAGTGGACTCATGACTCATTTCCACCGGTGACCGATTAGGGAAGACTCTGCTTTTGCCATCCAAGAATGGGTTTTCCCCAGGTGATCAGGCGTGCTTCCCGCTCATGGTCGGCCGGACCATAAGGTTTCCATCAAAACTTCACTCTGCAGCAGTCCTTGCAATACTGATGGCGTTTGCTGGTGCATCGGCTGCGCTCAGGTATCTGCTACAATACCCTGGTAGCAACGTGCGGAGGCACTCCCAATTTAGGGTGCAAGGGGCGCTCATCAAAAATGACCGCAGGCCCAGTATGAGGTTGAAGTTCATAGCTCGTTTCGTCTTTGCCGTTGCGATTGGTCCACTAGCTCAGTACCCTATCAGTAGCAGAGACTGAGTCAAACACAGCGCTGATCTTCTCTGTTGTCCTCCTTGCTACAGAGTTCATTTGAGGATCGTAAAGCATAATCATTGATTGCAGTCACTGACCTATTTTTATTACTAGTTGATTAACCCGTTAAGGGCTTGCGCTTCCGAAACCACGCTGTTAAGGCACTTGAAGCATACTTCAACATACTAACGTATTTCGCAATGAAACGGTCTTAGACGGAAGGAATTTGAAATTGAATAGAAATGCGACAGGAATTATAAGACAACCCAATATTTTCGCTCTAACGACCCTGCGAGTGTCGTTTTTCTCAGCACATTTTTTCCTTCGAAGTCCATATAATTTATACTAAGCCTGTTAGATCAGTTAGAGTGAACTTGACTGCGTTGTGAGTAGTCACTGTTTCGTCTTGTTAAGTTTGTTGAAAGTACAATGTGGGAAGTAGGAGAAGTATCCATCGGACGGAAATGTTGAATCACCATTAATTTTAAGATTGTGCTGTGGGAAAGTCATCGAGTAGTTCACATCGAACAGCTTCTAGTTCGTGTGAGCTTGCTCAGCAGTGATGTCGCTTTCTTTCAAATTTTGTTTTCCTATCAACCACTCGATGGTTGACAGTGCATTATAACTATTCACCTGAATTTTTTGTTTACCGTCGAGGCGTTCAAAAACTAGCGAAACGTTCAGGAGAAGTGACGACTGAATACGTGTTTTATACTGGCTGATTTTTTGTTCTCAATGGAAAATAATTTTATATGCGTCAAAATGGGGTCACCAGCCGCGACACTTCTATTACGAGGGCCTGATATTCGGCCTGATTCAGAATCATTGAAGCAGAAATATAATACCTGCACATATGAAGCAGAACAAAAACTTCTGCATGATAAACGGTTTGTTGTCGAAATCAAGAAAAGAATAGAAATTCAAAAATGTGCTACATGGTGATTTGCCAGATTGGTTAATCTTCGTCGACGGAGCCTCTCATTCAGAGCTTATTACAGATTTTACAGAATAGGGAAATAACGCACAACTTTCGACAGTAGCATCAGTTCGTTCGAGCGTTATTATGTAACACTCAGTTTTGCGCGCGCATCTCAACGTAGGTTTTGTGAAATTGATTATACCGGCATGTATTGAACGAATAATGCTTCATTCGTATTGGACTGGGCGGGCACTGACGAAAGCAGGATGAATTAAAGGCAACTTCTTACAGTTCATCAATTTCCAATGAGAGCTATCACTTTTAAGAACACAAGTCTAGCAGCCAAATGACCTTTGCATAACTAATGCAATTACTTGAGCTGCTTATTATAATCCTTCAACGTAAACGTCCACAATGCTTTGAATGTAGGGATGCATAGCGGCGAATAGCTCCGCCCCATACCCCTGTGATGAGAATTAGGAAAATACATCTACGGTATTTCCCAACCACTGATTTTTCCAATCGCGAAGATGGAATGTTTCCTTTACGCCATCTCGATGAGACTTCCAGTGCATCTTCCTTCCAACGCTTCTTGTTCAGCCCTGTCAGGTTGTTTGTCTTTTGGTCACCCATAATATATTCGCAGTTCCACCCCTTATATCTATCTGCAATAAGACATCGCCTCATGCTGCATTGGTGCGCGCGCATGCATTCCGGGGGTTGACTTTAACGCCTTTCGACTAATTTGTTGTTATCACCTTCTGTCTCTCGTTATTTTCCCGTCCCAACCTATATCATATCCTGAAATCAACTCCTGATGACTTCTGGTCCATGCGCTATGAATTTCGCACACACACATACACACATGCACACATACACACATAGGTTTCATATATAGTAGGGATTATGTAAGAAGTTGTGAAGGTTAGAGGAAAATTTGGGAACTAGCGCTTACCGATCCTGATTATGATAAGTGTTAACTGATTTCCGAATACGACGAAGCAACGCTAAGAACTCTTCTGCCATCCCGGTAACTTGATTACAGAGGCGTAAAATCGGGTTAATGAGAGAAAGTAACATAAGATTCAATTTCATGTCAAAAGCGTGCCAAGTCACAAAAAAAGATTACTGCTACGAGGAATCTAATTTAGCAACCGAATTATAATCCGAAAACAGAAAAAAATAGACGTAGAAAAAGAAAAAGAAGTTGAAAAAATATCAGTCAACAATACCTCCTGTGCTTTGTCGATTTGGCTGCCTTTTGGTTTGTTCACCTTGCATGATGATTCCCTAACTTCCGATATAACAATAAGGAATTTGTGGTTTCTGGACTCGCTCTAAATTGATTGCTGATCGTATTCCACTCACTTTTAACAATTTTAATCTAAACCAATGTTTGATTTATTTCTGTTTCCACTTACGTGACTCAACTTACTAGCTCTCTTCTTCTACCACAATGATAATCTCATCCGGTAGATTTTTTGTTCATAGGGCCGTCCTCTCATTATGTAGATGAGCCCAGTCAGCATATTTTTGTCAACCGGCACGACTAGATGATTTACTCGAATATCATACTGGAGTTGTTGAGGCGATTGAGAGAGCAGATCCCATTGTTCTTGATCGGTAGGTGTGTGTAGGCATTTGATCGGATACTCGCAAACTCGACTCAAATGCTTAAGATAACGAAGAAAAACTCGCCGAAACGGCAGCTAATCAAGAATTTTCAGACCTCATGTACAGTTCTAACGAGGCAATATCCACTCATTGTTTTTGACTTCCTTTTTCAAGTTTTGGCGACTGTCCTCGTAGTGCAACATACGTGCAAAGAGTGAACTACGCGATAAGTTCCCTTTTGAAAAGGAATAGCCATCAGGTCAACCCGACAAAACAATGAAGTGCACTTTTCTATGCGTATCTTAAGACGCTGACCTCAAATCTGCTTTGATTATCACCTAACTTCAGTGAGAAGGGACACGAAGTATTTTTCCGCCGCCCTTACTTTCCAGTATCTTGCTTGCAATCACATTCAAGACCCGTTATGAATGTCACGAAGAACCAGCGTAGTGAGCTTCGGTGGCGCAGCTGGCAGCGATCTTGCTTTTCTAGCAAGCCATTGCGGAATGCGGTCAGCGTCTTCCTTTTCCAGCATAGCCGAAAAACCTTCAGAATGCGTTATTTATTCAACATCTATGTATATCTTCATCTATGAAGAGTTCGCGAGCCGATCCTCTGAACATGAACACCACTCGCCCAGTAGTGCCCATGATGCCCGTAGTTCAGGTGCTAGACTTTTGCGGTGCACGTAGGTAGGATATTCGAATTCAGAGGATCTAGTTCTCCCTTCAGACCAGTTTCTAGGCCAATTTGAGTTTACGCTCAATTGGGGAGAGAGGAACAGGTATTGGAGTACCACCCCCAAACTCCAATTTTAAAGTTCACCAGTCATGAACAACGGGAACAGATTTGTATTTGGAACCGATGCCTTGCAAATATAGGATGAGCGAGCCCACCATCTTTAATTTTCCTGAGGTGTGTTTAGAAGTCTATGTCATCGTTATGTTTATCCTGATACCAGCCTTTTGTATTGGATTGGAGGATAGGTGAGAGAGCGCCCAAAATTTCGAGGCTTGGTGAAAAATTCCGATTTGGCCAGAAGTTTATATAAACACCTACTGAGCACACATCCGGTCATTCCACATGGTGCTGCGGTGGCAGCTGGAGTAGAGTGGAGGGAGGGGGTGTTAGAGGGGAGGTGGAAAACCAATCGCTAACAGACCCAGGTGCGGTTAGGTTTTAACATGTCATTCTAAGACGTAAAGCGTACGCAGGGAAACGGAGGTACCGGCGGTTGACGGGGGGAGAAACCTGGTTACAACATATCATAGCAATGTCATGAGTCCTCATAGTTTAGTTATTGAAGACGGCAAAACAATGAACAGGCCAAGTGACCCGACCCTCCTACCGCCTCTTTTTTGTGAGTCCAGACCGCTGCTGCTGTGTTCTTTGGCTTCACATTTCCGCTAAAAGAAGAGTTTATCTGACAGGGAGAGCAGATTTGAGCTAAGCGTTCGCGCGTATGAACATATACTTCTCATTTCAGCTGGCCGGGTTGACCAAACGACCTCTCCTAGTGGGATGTTCATCATTTAAGAGGAGAATTCACAATGAAGAGTCAGCCTATTGGAAATCAAGGTAACTAGATGTGATCAGTGGTGCAGGGCGAAGATAGAAGTCGTCCAATCCGAGAACGATTTCTTCATTGATGCCACCCTCCTCGGTGCTGCCCTCTCGACGCTCTCATTGCTGAGGAACTAGATTCGGACGGTGAGGCGCCACCTATCGGATCGCTCACTGTCCAGCACCCTTATTAATCACATTAGCAAGTCAAGGCCCCAATATTTGTAGAAGAAGTGCCGTTTCTAGAAGGAGCCGGGTTCATCAACTGAATAAATACAAACAAATGCAGTCACTGTGTGCAGCCAATTTTTATAATTAGGTGCTTACAGCAAAAAGCGTCTTGGCGATTTCGAGTGCTTGGGTTGATCCCTTCTCCGTTGACGGGCTCTCTGGTGATTTGACTTTATCTCTGGAACACACAAATCCTACACAATCAGTAGTACGGCATATGCTCAAGGAAAATGCGTGAAAGTGACAAAAGAAACAGTACAGTATATCACTCCCTGAATGGACTCCCATCTCGAGAAGGATCTTCGAAGGGCAGCTGATTGAAATGACTCCAGTTCTCGCCTTTTTCACGTACTTGGCAATATCCGCAATAAACTTAATCTCCTAAAACGTAGCAGTATTGCTTATAAGAGCAATCATCTACATAGCTTCTGCTCATGGCTTTCAGTTCTTATATGTGGCTTGGGTAGCGTATCACGAGGATCGCTCCGTGTTACCTCTTCGTTTCGTCATTCGGTCCATTTTCGTTTGCCCCTTTATTCGGAGGTTATTGCAGAAACCCTTATATGTAGCTCTGACCCCTTATATGTATGTGCAACGTTAAAAGAAACTCTTGAAACACTCAGTTCGCTCGCCTCTGGATTTCTCCCAAATTCTTTGGAATCTTCCGTGGGTGGTATATAGTAGGAAGCGGACTGTGCTACGTACGGTGCTCAAATCAGCTTTCCCAATAATGGCGTTTGCATCGCACTAAATCAACTTTTCCCGTGAGACACTCCAAGCGCTCATCTGTGTGAGCTTCGCCTGGACACATCGCGGCTCACGAGGGGCGCTCAGATGGGCACGGGGCCTCATGTGGTGGTCTCAGGATGGCTTGAACGCTTCGCAGCGGAAACTTTGATCACTTCGAAGTGACGCTCGACTGCTGTCCATATTGACGCCAGTCGAGTTGCAATCGAATGATTTGAGGCAGCGTCACTTTTTCTGGTAGATCATCTCGAGTGCTTCCACACGTACGTTCTTTAGGCTTTTAAGAATTACGCGAGTCTTAGAAATATGTGTAGTATGGGCACAGCACGACCTCATAGGGTGAA